AAAGTTGCATCCATTTACCTAAATCATTAAAAACGTGATTGGAACCAAATTAACGGTTATGATGACCAAACTACACACCAGAAGATGAAGAGACAACGACATTTCAGTCTGTCCTGGACTATTATCAAGTCAATAGGACGGACCGAAACATCGTTGTCTCTTTATCTTCTTGTGTGTGGTTTGGTCATCATATTTTCAGTCATGTTATTTTATTTATATATATACTTATTTATACTGTATTTATATATATACAAGAAGGTACATTGGGTTTGTAAGGGGGTACATAGCATGGTGTTTACATACTTGTAAAGCCACTAGTACGCGCAGCGTTTGTGACTCATCATCTGCATTAACGGGTATCATTCATATCTAATATTCCCATGCTCTATTTCACTGAGTGAAACTTTAATTTCAACTTGTCATATGAAACCAGCTACCAAGAAAACACATCTGTAAAGAGATTTAACCACGTCTAGTACATTTCCCATGCCCTAGCCTTGATTTTTTTTTTCAGATGAAGTATGTAATTATCAAAGAAGGCACCAAGCCAGGAAGGCTATGTAGCACTTTTATAGAGGAAGGGCACATGTTTTACTGAACAAAAACTTTTGCAACTAAAAAAAAATACTGTAGACTCATACAATTCTGCTCAATGACTTTCCCAAGGCCACCAACTCTTCTAATCTTATGTCTATGAAAATCATTAAAAAGATGATTGGAGCCCTATCAAGAGTGTTACCATTCATACACTTATATTTACCATGCTGTATGGGCTGATTTCACTAAGGAAATCTTAAATTTTAACCTATGATATGACAGGCAACTTTACCCAACCAGTCTGTGGACTCTGTCCCAACATCCTAAGCAAACCACACATACCCCTGCTTCAATGAACTCTTGTTAGTTGAATCCATTACAAAAATACTGCTTGGAAATTATACATTACAACCTGAGATTCACAGAATCGAAGTTCCACTGGAATGGAACTTGGTTTAAGGCAATATATTTACATTACGTTTAACCTAATTCAACATGAATATTTAAATAAATGGCTGTTTTAAAAGCCAGCTCCATGAATGGATGCTTCAAAAGCTAGTTCCATGCATAGATGCCTCAAATAACTTTCTAAATCATAAGACAATACAAAGTGTCAAGTTAAAATAAATTCTGCAAATATAATGGAAGCTATAAATGCCACTGACGGACCGTCAGTGGCACTTTACTACTTGAAAGCATGTGCAGTGCAGTACAGAAACAGAGTGCACACATCTCTACCAGAGTTTTACCTTCAGTCCACCCAAGTGTCATCTGACCTGCGACTCGTCAGAGACATATTCAAGTCAAGAGAGTCACACATGTCGTCATCAACTCTCTTCTTTACTAGAGTACTTGGGGATGTAGAGGATTGAAGATCCTTAATCCCCTGTTGGTGATATTCAAATTTGGCCTAATGATCAAATATGCAATTCAAAAAAGTGTATACTGAATGTATTAAGAGAAAAGCAAAACAGTGTTATAAGGTTAAGCAACCAATGGTAAACCCCCCCCTCTCGTCTACAACATCCAAGATTCTGGGCTATTAGCAACATTGTTTGCTAACTACAAATTTAACATCAGTACAGTACATCCAACAACAGGAACCTGCTTCTGATCTATAACTCACAAAGGCTAACCCCTTTACTATTTGAATTCCTTCTTTGTGTAAAGAATAGAAAAGCAACCAAGTACAAAAATATGGTCTTGACTAGAATGCACTGTATTTATGTATGGTATATATACATATTGACAGATATAGATATACAATATAGATATACAGATAGAGGGGGGAAATTTGATAAATTTTCCCCTCTATCACAAGGACACAAGGGGACACAGGTGGAAACTGAGTACCCAAATGACAGGCTTTTTTATTTTTTTTGTATTTATATATACAAGAGTACTTACATTCTTGTAAGTTTTTTGTTCACTGTCAGATAACTAAAAAAATGGAATGCAACAAGGTTTGAGGTGGTGAAAGCAGACCCTACACACAGATTTAAATGTTGATACTATACAGTGAAAACTCCAATAGGCTAAGGAATCCACAAACGAGTTGAATGAAACTTGAAAGGCAGGACCACAGAGTTGAAGCTGAACTCCCAAAGTAAAACTAGGCAAGTGCAAACACCCACACACCCACCCACCTAGTGAGTAATGACATAATAATGGACAAACAGTATGGTTTTCAAACAAGATGATCCTGAGTAACAAATCTACATAGTTTTTATGATAAGAGCCACAGAGATAATGCAGGAAAGAGGTGGTTGGAAAGAGGATGTGTATATTTGGACCTAAAAAAATGCTTTTGACAAAGTCGCACACAATAGGCCGTTCTGGAAACTGCAACATGCTGGAGGAGTGACAGGAAGACTTCTGACATGGATGAAAACCCTTCTAACTGACAGATGAGGGCAATAATCAAAGACAATGTATCTGACTTGAGGAATGTTACTAGCGGAGTACCACAGGGTTCAGTTCTTGCACCAGTAATGTTCATTGTGTACATAAACAGTCTACCAGAAGGAATACAGAATTATTTGAACATGTTTGCAGATGATGCTAAGATACTGGGAAAGATAGGAGGTACAGATGATTGCAATGCCCTTCAAATCGATTTAGATAAAATAAGTGCTTGGAACGTAAAGTGGCAAATGGAATTCAATGTGAATAGATGCCATGTTATGGAATGTGGAATCGGAGAAAATAGACCACACACAGCTTAGAAATTATGTGGAAAGAAATTACAGAAATATAATAAAGAGCAAGACTTAGGGGTGGTTTTGGATAGTAAGCTGTCACCAGAGGAACACACGAAGAACATTGTGAGAGGAGTGTGTGCATCGCTTTCGAACTTCAGACCTGCTTTTAATTACTATATGGATTGGTAAATACTAAAGAAACTGTTCATAACTTCTGTGAGACCAAAATTGGAATATGCAGCAGTTGTATGGTGCCAAAATCTCAAGAAGCACAAAGAAACTGGAAAAGGGGCAGTGGCATGCTTCAAAATGGCTTCCAGAAGTAAAAAACAAGAGTTACGGGGAGAGACTACAGACATTAAACATACCAAAACTAGAAGAGGTGATATGATCACCACATACAAAATACTAACAGGAATCAACCAAATTTACAAAGCATAATTCCTGAAACCAGCAACATCACGAACAAGAGGACACAGAGTCAAGCTAAGGAAACAAAGGTGCCGAAAAAAACATTCAAAAGTTTTCTTTAGCAAACAGCGTGATAGACGGTTGGAACAAGCTAAGTGAGAAAGTGGTGGAGGCCAAAACCATCAGTAGTTTCAAAGCATTATATGACAAAGAGTACTGGGAAGATGGGACACCACGAGCGTAGCTCTCATCCTGTAACTAAACTTAGGTAATTACACATTTACACACACGCACATCTAGGAGATTATAGTAATAATAATAATAATAATAATAATAATAATAATAATACTAATAATAATAATAATAATACTAATAATAATAATAATAAATAAATATATATATATATATCTATCTATCTATCTCAACCTCAATATATATACTGTACTCCAAAATAGTGTCGGTCCCCACGAAAAAGACAGGTAGAGTAGGATAGTAAGGTGAGCTACTGAGGCAACCCTGAGAAGTGCACTTCATTACATTTAATGTTTGACTTCTGGGTTGGCCATCAGTAGCTTCCTGGTGGCACCCAAGTGAGGAAACCATCTTCTGGTGTAAAAAAAAATAAAAAATAAAAAAATAATTCAGAAAACTTGAGTCTAAATATTAGCTGTAGACATACTGTATTAGCAATTAAGACAGCAAGACAATAGCAACATACTCGTGCACATCATGTGTATGAGGAGACACCAGGCTGGTTGAATTGAACCATCTGACATAACTTGAGGAACCCTGGCCATGGAACTCGAGAAGAAAACAGGATAAACAAAATGGGCAACAACTCGGGTGTCATGAATAACATGCTCACAGGACATTGGGCATCAAATGTCTCTGGCTATGCAAAGCATCTACTGTACAACCACAGAATCCCTACACAAGACAGACAACCCAATCTAGGCTAAGAGAAAAAAAAATACCGACAAGGGCTGGAGATAAAGAGAGTGATCTCCAGGATATAAAAATATATATATCAGGTACTTTTTTGTGATGAAAGGGAAATATCCCAAAGGAAGCAGAAAAGTTGTCAGGAGCAAAAAAAATCTGGTCCTCCTAATCACAACACCTGAAGTGCAATGCTGCATTAATGATTTTTAAAGAGCTGTATCCTAAATCCATAAGCTTTGTTTTGTTATTCAAAACATTAGCACGAAGACTGTTCCTACAGTATCGACATCAAATTTCAACAGCATGTTCTTTTGCTATTCTCTTACCAGCTTCATTATAACTAATACTGCAGCTACATATTTTTTTCTAATTCAATGGAACCAAAGAGATAATAATAAAAACTTAGGCTATGAATGACTGCTTTATAGTGTAACACTCGGGAACAGCCACACAAGTTTGTGGATGGGGATGAAAAAAGCGTCCTCCTTACTCCATTTCATGCGAAGCACTGCAGGCCTTAACTTGACAAAAGAGGCCATGATAAATTAACACTGTACAATACAGAAATTAATATATAACAATAAATGGTTTCATATTATCTTGGAATAATAATGTAATTACTTAAAAGAGGGATTATTTTTCAAAGTGTTCAAGTTATCTTTTGACTTAAGGGAACTTGTGCCACCATGCAGCTGCAATTTGGGCCTCACACTTTGGGTGGGTGAGAATTGAAGCAAGTTCAGATTTGATTTGGAAAATATAGGAACTCGGCAAAATTTATATCAGGACAGGTGAGGTTACACTGTGCTGTAGTATGTGCAAAAATGCTATGTGAATGCAATATGCAGTACCAGTAAGTACTAAAGGAAACCAGAAGCAAAGCCACTAAAAACAGAAATGAGTATTTACCTTGGTTATGTCAACACCCGTCAAGGTCTTGACCATTTGTGGCACACGAGTGATGATCTCCATGACCTCTCCCGTAAGCTTGGCTGCACCAATCTCAGATTTACCACTGCTCACCATGGTTAACTTCTTGGCCTGTGAGAGTGGTGCAGCGACTTCAGCAGCAACCTGTCAATATATTTAGAAATTATACGGGTGAAAATAACGTGAATCAAGAGGTTCACACAAATTCTGTATCTATCTCCAGAAAAACTAACAAAATCAATGAATCCACCAGATTTGTAAGATGTTTACATTGTACCCTAATGGAAATTATACATTTAAATTTTTAAAAGTGAACTTTGCAATAACAATGGGGAAGATATACAATACTTTATCCAAGAATGTTTGAGAACTCACATTAAACCAAAATATAAGAGATAATAAGAGAAGTTGCAAAATGGCTTCATTTAAATCTTTGGTTGCAACTTTGACCATATTTACCAAATCCATAATAACAGATTTACTGTTTTGATGAATTGGGTTGTCTCTTAACGTATAATCTAGTGTCAAGCTGAGAATTGAACTGAGAAGTTAATGGGCAATAACTAGGGAAGGGGAGGGGTATTTTATAACTGGTTAAATTAAAAAAAAATGGCTTTTCATTACAACTTAGTTGTTGGCAAGCAATAGGAGGTATTGGTCCTGTTTGCAACCAACCTGTCATCAATAAAAAGCCAAATAAATGTCATGCAACAGTCATTCTCCATTTATGCATTAAATGTACTACACATGACTTGAAAATAATGATATTTGAGCTTTTTCAAGATAAAAACATAAGGCAAACTGATTTTAAGAGGAAACCCACCCAGGTCAGTGGGCTTACCAAGAAAGGGTATATGAAAGAGCCAAGAACCCATCCTCTCTCTGTATTCCCTACAGTGGGAACTTTAACCCTTAAACTGCGCAAAACGTCACATGATGTGTGACAGTGAAGGGGATATAATTTGAAAAATATTCAAATTATGTAAAAATTACTTAAAAATGTTAAACAAATCTCCAACTTATTGGCTTCAGCTTCGTGAAACTTTCATCAAAATATTTTCAGAAATTGATTTTAGACGAATATTTAAAAAAAAATAAGTTTTGTTGATAACGAGAACCGCTCCTATTAACTGGAACTGATGGATAATGCAATAATAAAGAGATGCAAGCACCTGTCCAACGCACAAAGAAGAAGAACAGTAGCAAGAAGTGTCCACAAAGTGGATATACAGCTGGTGCCTTTATAGCATTGGTGAATAATACATAATAACACAAATAACAATAGAGTAATTATGTTATTATGCTCTATTTTGTTATATATCATAAATACATTGCCCAATGTTGTTATCAGTTACTTTCAACAATGTCCAAAAAATATTTTTTTAGGGGGATTTTTTTTTTTTTTTTAGGTTTTAGTTTTTTCCTTCTTTGTTTATTATTTGAATTTGCTTTAACCTTCAAATTCTGGAGAATGCATATTCGTCCCTAACTAGGTGAAGCCAGAATTAAATTGGTCAACAAATAAATCAGTCACAACTCTCAGAACTTGGGACTTTGAATTTTTTTTGGCTAATTTTTTCACGGATTTCAAACTATTTTCCTTGTTTCTTCAGGTTGTTTTGATGATTAGGGGACCAGATATGATTTTTCAGTGTGCAAAAATTTAGTTTCTGACCGATTCTTACCATTTTTATATATGGCCACAGGAACAGATATGTAGTATGATATTTAGTTGTTTTAACAAAATACCAAAGAATATGAGGAAGGTGGAAAAAAAATTCTCCGGTTGCACCAATTACAAAAACAAAGCCCAATAAGTGGCGTCTTGGGTGGCAGGCTGGAAAAGCATGTCCTCCTACCACAGAAGTCGAATGGTGGTATAGTACCTATGTCATGGTCCCAGTCTCGAAAGTAAAAGTTTTTCATATGTCGTCTTGTCTGCGATGCATAAAAATAGAAATTGATTAATTTTGGAAAATTTAGGTGGCAAAGAAGAATTGTCAATCTGAAACTGCAAACTGGAGGTACAGCACAACCCACTTTTCACAGGAAAAAGCTATCTGGACCTGGAGCCATACCCCAAGTCGTGTTATTTGGGTACCAACGTGGTTCCGTAAACATTACCTCAAGGAGAGGTTCAGTGTTAACCAAGAGGAAAAACATTAAGTACATACCACTGTGACATATTGGGAAGTTGGGAAAAATCCCAGTTCAGAGACACAAGAAACCAACTATTTCCTCTGTAAAAATACAGGGCCCTGCCACCTAAAGGAATGAAGAAACTGATACTCCCATACAAGCATGTAGTCTCCAAACATGCCTTGAAAGGGGTAGGGAGGCATAGTTCCACTAGCCACTTGCAGCAGTGATACCAACCTTGATTTCCTCACTAAAAATGAGACTACTGTATTTTCTTTTTGTGAGGCCTCATTGTTATTAAGTCTTGCATCTTAGGGGTGCATCACTCAAAGATTTTTCTTCTCAGCATTACTTGTGCGCTGCACATTGCATCTCATCTGATAAGTCTCTTCCAGAGCCCTGGGATTGCATCTAGGATTGTATATCTCAGCTGCTTAGTTACCTTACCCAGCAAAACAAATAACCGTTGCAAAGTGACCTATGTAAATTTGCAAAGTGCAAAAGTATTCTTATTGGCCATGTCCTGCTCTGGGATTACTGTGGAATTTCTGGTGGACCAGCCACATCTCTGCCAAGCATTACCTACTTAAGTTTTCCTGCATGTGATGCCGCTACGAAGACCACAACAGCCATCAATTCTAGCTGCTGATCCAGAGGATTTATTGCCTCTTTGTTTCTATTCCAGTGGCATTCTGTGCATCCTCCTACTTCAAGCACTGCTCAGTATTACAGGTGAATTATTACCTCGTCCTTTATTCTTTTCTCTAGTTGAATACTTATATTGTGATCCAAATGTGTTACTATAGCTCAGAAATATGAAATCACCTTTCTCAACAGAATCATCTGCATTCTCTTCATTTTTCTGTCCAGACTTTTAGGTACATAGTTTAAAGGTTTTGTGCATAACATATCATCTGAGGTGTCTGGTGTTTAAATACTAGAGGTGCACATGGTGCCATCACTTACTTATGAGACATGCAGAGTTACAGATAAAAGTCCAATTTTGATAATTATAGGGACTTCAATGCCCGAGATAATTTTCTAAGTTTCAAATTTGACGATCATCATATGGGGTAAGCTACACGAGCCTTATGTTAATCCTGTTCATCACATGGCAAGCTGTTGTTGAAATTAAAATTTTGCTCAGTGATATGGATGATATTTTTGTAACATTGCTTAAAACTTGTTATTAATTTAAGATATTCATGTAATGGTACTGAATTGGGAGCCTTTGACTAGCGGTAAAATAAAATTATATACAGTACTAGTAGTTGGATACCATCTTGAGTTTGAAACTGTTTTCATTCACCCGGTTTGGCGAGTCATGGAACTACTTTTGAAAATTGGGGTAAGGAGTGGACCGAGGTCAAATGCTGTATAATTAGATTCTTATTAATAGCCATTATATGAGGGATTTTAATTAAAATTTTACTCAATATAACCCACTATTTGCAGCTACAGTGTGAGAAAAACAGATGGTAACAAAAACTAAAATTTGTGTACAGTATTTGTTACTATTTTTTTTACTTAAAATCTATAAATTGTGTATAAAAATGAGTAAAAATGTATTTTATCATTTGTGGTATGAATACCCCCAAAAATTTAGTGGGAAAAAGTTCAAAATTGCAAAATTTACACGATATGGAATTTTGGTTGCTGCAAGGCAAATACAGTAGAAGTCTGCCCATTTAAACATTCAAGCCTTTGTATCATCATCAAGATGTTTCATCACTTCATATTCACAACTTATCCCATCCTTACCAGGAGATGCACATTCACTGACTTTTTAACTCTTCATTCAATTCCACAGACGAGAATGGATGGTTATGATCCTCTTTTCTATTTGTAGAGGAAGACAACCTTTTCCTCTCTTCACACATCCTGTAAATCTGAAACAATTGGGAATAATTATCGTTGCTTTGACCAAGTGCTGAAACCACTAGCTACTTTGGATCCAGGATAAGTGTCATTGAGCTTTGAATCTTGCAAGATGGTTGGGGGGTCTTTGTGCCCCTCAGCTTCCTAAACTTGCTCAATATTTACCCAAATGAGTACAGGTGTCGCATGCACGCACACGTGTGTCTGTGTGGGGGGAGGGGGGGAGGGGAAAATGGTGGTGCAGAGAGGTATGGGTGAAGGAATGGTTTAGAAGAAGTAGGAAATATAGTAGAGTTATTATACAGTAGCAAGTATTGTGTCCGTCTTGCTGAAACAAAGTTTGTGTTGGTAGCTTGCTTTCTTTTTGTAGGAAGCTGTGACCATTTGAAAGGCTCTTTATATATACTGTATTTTATATGTATACAGTGGTACCTCGGAATGCGATTGTCCCTGTATGCGAGGTTTTCGGAAGGCGAGGTGTATTTACTCCAAAAATTTGTCTCGGAAGGCGATGGTTACTTCGGGAGGCGAGTTTGGACGCGAGTTTGTTGATACGCGTACAGCCGACCTAGCGCGTTCGTCGCCCCTCCGCCCCTCAGTTTATTATTGTCTCGCGCTCAGTGACTACCCCCACATCAATTCTTCTCGCGGATTTTCAGTGTTTTGTTGGATTTTTGGTGATTTGTCTATACAATTTGTTATTATATATCTCACCATGGGTCCCAAGAAAGCCAGTGGTAAGGATAAAGGCCAGAAAGCTCATGTGAGGATGACAATAGAGGAGAAACAAGAGATCATTCGGAAGCATGAGAACGGTACACGTGTTGTTGAACTTTGTAGGCAGTACAACAAAGCCACATCAACAATATGCACTATACTTAAGAAGAAAAATAAGATTATGGGTGCTAAAGTGGCAAAAGGAGTAAGAACATTAACGGCACAAAGACCACAAATACTTGAAGAAGTGGAAAAGGTGTTATTAATTTGGATACACGACAAGGAGTTGAGGGGTGATAGTGTTTCGGAGGCCATTATTTGTGAGAAAGCCAGGGTGTTGCACGAAGACCTTCTAAAGAATACCCCTGCAACGAGTGATGCAGATAAGAAAGAGTTTAAGGCAAGCAGGG